GCGTAAGGTATGTGTTGGTAATTTGTTTTGAAGTATTTGAAGGCCGGAGGCCAAGTAGCTGAATTGCATGTTGTTATCTTGTGCATGCTGCCCGTTGGGATATTAAAATGTGAATTTTGTGCAGGTTGAAATTTGGGGAATGTTCAATTTACAAGGGAGACTCTGCCGAAATTTCGGCAGAAAGTCTCGTTCCCTTACTCTTTTAAGAGAAAGAGGTTACAGTTTGCAGAAGTAGGCCCAACATCGGGGTGATGTCGGGGTTTTCACAGGATTCATCTCGAGTTCCGGAAAATTCGGGGCGGGTCCTGTCAAATTAGACCTTCAAAATCTAGGCACAGATCAGCAACCTTTGTAGTTAGAAAACACTGAGAGCTTAAAAGAGGTAAATGTAGAATAGTGTATAATTATAGGAGATTAAATGATAATACTTATGAAGATAGTTATAAAGTACCAAATAAAGATGAACTTATGAATAAAATTCAAGAAAGTAAATATTTTACTAAATTTGATTGTAAATCAAGATTTTGGCAAATTAGATTAGCAGAAGAATCAATTCAATGGACATCATTTACTTGTCCATCAGGACATTTTGAATGGCTTGTGATGCCATTTGGATAAAATGCAACATTGATGTTTCAAAGAAAGATAGATCAAATTTTTAAGAAGTATGATAATTTTTATAGTGTATATGTAGATGATACTTGCTCATAGTAAAAATAAAAAAGAACATAGAAAACACTCATAAATTATTTTGAAAGAATTTATCGATAATGGTATAGTCATAAGTAGCAATAAAGTAGAGCTTGAAAAACAAGATATAGAACTTTTAGGTATGTATATTAAGTCAGGAACTATACAATTACAAGAACACATAGCTAAAAAAACGTTAGAATTTTTAGATAAATTAGAAGATAAAAAACAATTACAAATATTTTTAGGATTATTGAATTATGCTAGAAGTTTTATCCCTGATTTAGAAAGAAAGATTGCATCATTGCATAGTAAAACTAGTAAAACATGGCAAAAATATTTTAATAGTGAAGATATTAAATTAGTTCAAAATATCAAACAAGATATAACTCAACTTAAACCTTTAGCATTACCATTAGATAATAATTACAAAATAGTTGAGACAATGCATCATCAATAGGATGGGCATGAATTTTATATTAGAAGAAACATAAAGAAGAACCTAAATATGAAGAAAAGGTTTGTAGATATGCATAAGGTAAATTTAATGATATTCATATTAGATTTCCAGCCACTGACTTAGAAATTTTAGGAGTCATTAGCTTCCTTGAAGCATTTTCATTGTTTTTACATAATGAGATATTTACCACTAGAACAAATTGTCAGAATATTGTTTCTCATTATAATAAAATTACTACTAATAAACAAGCAACCTGAAGATGGGTCAATTTTGTTGATTTTATTACAAGAAATGGATTTAGACCAATATTTGAGCATATTAAAGGTATGGATAATACTTTAACAGACATCTTATCTGGTATTATTCATTAACAGATATGCAATATTTTGGAGCATCATACTCTGGCAGCAAAAATAATGGTACACCATCACAGGGTGGTAATCCATTAAGCATGATTAGTCAAGCAAGATTAGTAGTAAATACTTACTATTATAATGGAATTCCAGTACAAGAAGTTAGAAATCTTGCTTTAAAATATCGTACTCAAGCATCAGTTAAACAAAAAGTACTTTTAGACAACTTTTGGATTAGAACTAATAATGAAAGCATGAGAAGAGGACATGAAAAACTTATTAAAGCCCTTGAGCAAGAGTTTTTGGCATATAATTATGATTATAAAAGAGCAAAACAACAACTTTCTTTTTTGCAAGAAAAACATGAAGAGCAAAAGAAAGAGTATGATACAATAGTAAGAAGTTTTAGAATCATTAATTTAAGATGTCAAAATTTAAGTATGATTTTACAAGAAAAAGAGGCTAATGAGCCCAACTTACTTGAGCATAATAGAAAATTTTCCCTTGAATGAAAAACTAAAAACCCATATTTTCTTCAAACCTTAGCTAGAGAAAGGTATAGGCTTTTACCATAAGATATTAAGAGTCATATGATTAGATTAGAATATGAGCAAAATATATATCTTTAGTTATACATTCAAGCTTTCCTTTTTAATTTAAAAAATAATCCACATCTTGGTATAAAAATCATTATTAAAAGCTATTCTCATTATACTATTTATTTAGCTAGTATCAACATGGTTGAATATGAACTACATTTAGAGCATAACAAAAAAATATCACAATTACTCCAGCATTTTTAGAAGAGTATGGTTATTTAGGTCAACTTTATATTGAAAATAGTAATCATTTAGATTCATTTTCCTCAAAATTAAAAGAAGTTATAAGTTTTTATATCCCTCTGGGCGTAAAATTAGTTTTCACCAGCATACTCCCAGAGTGGTTTAAGGATAGTACTTACTCAGATAGAGCACAACATAGTATTATTATTTCTCATAATGAACTGTTTAGTCCTACAGAATCAGTAAAGACGGAGATCTCTACCAAGTAAGACATTAAAAAATACATATAAGTAATAATAGCTGAGCAACAATTATTCAATGATGATCATCTGAACCTCCTTTACTAATCCAACGTTATCAAGATTTATTCAGAGACTACATCCAGGAGACCATATGACACATATGAATTCAGGATAAGCACAACATGAGCAAAAGTTTTTGATGAAATCTATAACCAGATAGCAAAACAAACTGAAGCAGAAGAAAACGATAACTCATACTAGAATAGCTTAGGAGAAGAAGAGCTACACAATATAGATAACATGTTGGAAGCATAAAACTCCATGTGAAGTTAGAAGTATCATCATCTCATGTGAAGAAATCATTTCAGCAAAAAGATGCAGCATCAGTCCAAAGCAAGAAAATCTAACTTTTTTGTTCCATACGGCTAGCAAAAAGCAAAGACACTAGGCAATTCAAAAATAAATAAGGGCATTATCGTCCAAACACTAAAAATTTGGGCCTCTTTATAAATAGTTCCCCTAAATCTAAATACTCCCAAACTTATATATATATATACACAAATAGCTTCCATCGAGGGATCCCTCAAATAAGTTTATTTGAGGGACACCCCTTAGGGC